CTCAGGAAACATCTTAGCAACTGCCGTAGGGAACCACGCTTCGGAAATGGCAGGGATGTCATTGCAGAGCAAGTCCAACTGGTCCCGAGACGGTGTCCTGGTATGTACGGATTGCTTATGTGCAAATACGCTACGGGTGTTACTATTTGTCTGCATTGCCACTATTTACGCGATGTCCCCAGTGGAGGCGAGGAAGGACTTAGGCATCCTCCACAAATGAAAGCAAAGTAAAAAGGGGGAAAGAAGCACACCAAATTACATAAGATGTCCATATGTTGTGCAGTGGGTTCATCTGCAAATTTGGTAATGATAATTTAAATAGGAACATGGAGAATATTGTATCCAATCGAGTGCTATGCTTATTCTGCAAAGTGTTAAAAGTCTCTAATGATGTCTTCTTGGTGTACTTTATGGGACATTTGGTGCAGTCAGAGAAAGGCAGGAAAGAAGGAAGGAAGGAAAGAAGGAAAATGGAACTGCACAGATTAGATTATTCTCTAGAGACAAATCAATAAAACGTTTTGCCATGGTTGTTGTGAGTTTTCTGGGCTGTGTGGCCATGTTTGAGAAGCATTCTCTCCTGACGTTTCACCTGCATCTATGACAGGCATCCTCAGAGGTTATGAGGTCTGTTGGAAACCAGGCAAGTGAGATTTATATATCTGTGGAATAATGTCCAGGGTGGGAGAAAGAACTCTTGTCTGTTGCGGGCAGATGTGAATGTTGCAATTGGCCACCTTGATTAGCATTGAATGGCCTTGCAGTTTCAAGGTCTGACTGCTTCCTTCCTGGGGATTCCTTTGTTGGGAGATGATTATCTGGCCCTGATTGTTTCTTGCCTGGAATTCCCCTGCTTTTGAGTGGTATTCCCCCAGGCAGGAAAAGGCATAATCCTTTGGAAAGGCATCCATAACTTTTTGGGAAAACCAGAATCTCCAAAGCCTTTTGGAAAGGATGAACTCAGATTAATTGGCATTCACACTATTTGGAATGATCATAACTTTTTTTTTGTAAAGTATGATCGTCCTGAGAAGAGCTAAAAACTCATTTGAGTGAATCTCTTCTTTAGTGGTAAATATCCGCTAGCATTTATGAAAGGCAATTTAGGTTTCTCAGTTGTTAGATTGATATACCTTGTTTATCTCTCTAAATTGTTAGGAACAAAATAAATAGCAGATCTTTGGGGATACTGAAATACTATTATTTCAGTATCCCCCCAAAAATCTGCTCTCTCATAAAATATATTGCTTTAAAACATGCTTTCAAGAGACCAAAATAAGTGGTCTTTTAAAAAAGTAACATAGTTGATTTACTTATAAACTTCATGTATTCAGCATACAGGCATATTGCTTATTCGTTGAAATATTAAACAGGAAGTTTTCTAAGGCATTCTGTTTCAGTCTCTTCTCTGTCTTATGTCTAAAGCATAAAGAATACTGACTATACAAAACAATACTGATTGAACACTGACACTGACTTCTAAAATGGAGTCTCAGCCTGAATAATCCCAGATCTGATCACATGGTTTGCAGTCCCTTCCACAACCTCAAACAACATAGAGTTAAGGGAAAACTGCATACCAAAACATCCCTATATAATACAGTAAGCAATCTTGTATACGTTCCAAACAGTGTTGCTATTTCCAATACTATGTGGTTTCATTGATCCACCGTTTCATTTAGTCACTTCAGGGCCCTGTGCAAGCTTCTCATTGAAAAAAATAGGTCACTACTGTCTTTAGTTTCACGTATCATTGCAAAGTCTGGGAATGTATGGCTATGAGGGTTGTGCCATCTTCTGCTTCATAAAATCATAGAATCAAAGAGTTGGAAGAGACCTCATGGGCCATCCTGTCCAACCCCCTGCCAAGAAGCAGGAATATTGCATCCAAATCACCCCTGACAGATGGCCATCCAGCCTCTGTTTCAAAGCTTCCAAAGGAGGAGCCTCCACCACACTCCGGGGCAAAGAGTTCCACTCCTGAACGGATCTCACAGTCAGGAAGTTCTTCCTAATGTTCAGATGGAACCTCCTTTCTTGTAGTTTGAAGCCATTGTTCCGCATCCTAGTCTCCAGGGCTGCAGAAAACAAGCTTGCTCTCTCCTCCCTGTGGCTTCCTCTCACATATTTATACATGGCTATTATATCTCCTCTCAGCCTTCTCTTCTTCAGGCTAAACATGCCCAGCTCCTTAAGCCACTCCTCATAGGGCTTGTTCTCCAGACCCTTGATCATTTTAGTCGCTCTCCTCTGGACACATTCCAGCTTGTCAATATCTCTCTTGAATTGTGGTGCCCAGAATTGGACACAATATTCCAGGTGTGGTCTAACCAAAGCAGAATAGAGGGGTAGCATTACTTCCCTAGATCACTATGCTCCTATTGATGCAGGCCAAAATCCCATTGGCTTTTTTGCCGCCACATCACATTGTTGGCTCATGTTTAACTTGTTGTCTACAAGGACTCCAAGATCTTTTTCGCACGTACTGCTCTCGAGCCAGGCATTATCCCTCATTCTCTATCTTTGCATTTCGCTTTTTCTGCCAAAGTGGAGTATCTTGCATTTGTCCCTGTTGAACTTCATTTTGTTAGTTTTGGCCCATCATCTCTCTAATCTGTCAAGATCATTTTGAATCCTGCTCCTGTCCTCTGGAGTATTGGCTATCCCTCCCAATTTGGTGTCGTCTGCAAACTTGATGATCATGCCTTCTAGCCTTTCATCTAAGTCATGAATAAAGATGTTGAACAGGACCGGGCCCAGGACAGAACCCTGCAGATGGCACTCTGCTCGTCACTTCTTTCCAGGATGAAGAATAAGCATTGCTGAGCACCCTCTGGGTTCGTCCACTTAAGCAATTACAGATCCACCTCACCGTACTTTTGCCTAGCCCACGTTGGACTAGTTTCCTTGCCAGAAGGTCATGGGGGACCTTGTCGAAGGCCTTCCTGAAATCCAGGTACGCTACATCTACGGCATTCCCCGCATCTACCCAGCTTCACTATGCTATCTCCAAGGAAAGTCAAAAAGTTGTAAAGTTTTGCATACCAGGGAGAATAATTATTGCAAGTTTGAAGAATAAAAATGGAAATTCAATTGAGCTAGATGGGAGTTGTAGCAAAAATAGAAGGTGGAGTGCTGATGGAACTGGAAGTAGTTGATAAAGTGCAGGAGTAAGACACCTTATGGAGATCGGAATGGTAAACACCTGGATTGAGGGGGAGGCAATGGCACATGGTACCTCTGCCCTAAGCAAGCTGCTCTTTCTCAGCCTCGGCCTCTTCCGTCTTTGAAATGGGGATAATGGGGATGACCTATTTTTTCAGGATCATTAGAGGATTTACAAGACAATTTGGAAGGACTGTGTTTAAGTGCCATGTTGAAAAAGGATGTGTATCCATTGGGCAACTGGGTTTCTGGTTCAGACTCAACTGGGTGGAGGAAACTAAAAGCTAAAGCAGAGCTGATAAATCAATTGGATTCCTGAACATTTTGGCTCATCAATGGGAATCCTTTCTTGGTACCACGAATAGCAGGAATAGGAATTATGTGGTCTTCCAGATATTGGACTATTTGTACTATTTTAAATGGTTTTTTAAATCTAATTTATTGTTTACTTATTATGTAACTGTTGTTTTTTTCTGTTGTATATATGGGGCATTGAATTGTTGCCGGCTGTAAGCCGCCCTGAATCCACCTTTGGGGGTAGAGAAGGGCGGGGTACAAATATTTGAAATAAATAAATAAATACATGTTCCAACAGCATTGCCAATGGTAATGAATGATAATCTGATAATATATGGAGGGTTATTTGGTTCTCATCCTTGTTGAATTAGGTTCAGTCCCAATATTCAGTGGTTCAGTCTCCTGCTATTGTGTATTATTCTGTTATAGAACTTCAATATGCTGATGACAACATCATCTGTGCCCATTCAGAAGAAGACCTACAAGCCACTCTAAACACCTTCGCAGAAGCATATAAGAAGCTCGGCCTGTCATTGAACATTGAGAAAACCAAAGTGCTCTTCCAGCAGCTACCAGCCAATCCCTCTCCAATGCCAGAAATATAGCTTAATGGTGCAAAATTAGAAAATGTTGACCATTTCCACTACCTTGGCAGCCACCTCTCCACAAAAGTCAACATTGACCGTGAAATACAAGCTCTGCAAGTGCAAGCTCTGCGAGTGAGCTCTGTGAGTGCAGCATTTTTCCGAATGAAGCAGAGAGTGTTTGAGGACCGGGACATCCGTAGGGATACCAAGGTGCTTGCTTATAAAGCTATTGTCCTCCCAACCCTGCTATACGCCTGCGAGATGTGGACTATCTACAGACGTTACATGCAACTCCTGGAGCGATTCCATCAGGGTTGCCTCCGAAAATTCCTGCAAATCTCTTGGGAAGACAAGCAGACAAATGTCAGTGTGCTGGAAGAAACAAAAACCACCAGCATTGAAGCAAAGGTCCTCCGCCATAAACTTCACTGGATCAGCCATGTTGTCGGGATGTCCGACCACCGTCTCCCAAAACAGTTGTTCCACTCTGAGCTCAAGAATGGAAAACGGAATGTTGGTGGGCAGGAAAAGAGATTTGAAGATGGGCTCAAGGCCAACCTTAAAAACTCTGGCATAGACACTGAGAATTGGGAAGTCCTGGCCCTTGAGCTCTCCAGCTGGAGGTCAGCTGTGACCAGAAGTGCTGCAGAATTCGAAGAGGCACGAATGGAGGGTGAAAGAGAAAAATGTGCCAAGAGGAAGGTGCATCAAGCCAACCCCACCTGGAAACCGCCTTCCACCTGGAAACCAATGCCTTCACTGCAGGATAACATGTAGACCAAGAATAGGGTTCCACAGCCACCTACAGACCCACCGCCGTACACTGATCTTGGAAGACAATCCTACTCAGACAACTAGGGATCGCCTAAGTAAAGTAAGTAAGTAAGTATTGTGTATATAAGTTCCTATCATTCCAAACAACCCTTAGGAAGGTGAACCCTCTCTGTATACCTGGATGAGTCAAAGGCCAAGGTCCATCGATGAAAGTGATGTAGCCTGAAAGGAAGGTGATGATCAGACCATGCATCAGCGTGATCAACCTGACGCCCCATTCTGGAGTGCGGTTCTTGTTCCGGGACCTGAGGGCAATGTAGAAGAACAACCAGAAGAGGAAGCTGCACACCACCTTGGCAACGATGGCGAACATCCTTTCATCCCTGAAAGAGCAGAGTAGAACACAGTTGTCGTATGTGTGTATGGAAGGATCATATAGTAGATATACCTTAGGATTGGCCCATTTAGGAACAGGGAGGTTTCTGCACCTGATTGGACAGTTCCCTGAAAAGTCATTCTCTCCTGACGTTTCGCCTGCACCTATGGCAAGCATCCTCAGAGGTACTGAGGAGGCTTGCCATAGATGCAGGTGAAACGTCAGGAGAGAATGCCTCTAGAACATGGCCATATAGTCCGAAAAAAACTACAACAACCCAGTGATTCCAGTCATGAAAGCCTTCAACAATATGATCATTCCTCTACATCAGGGGTTCAATGTTTATATATTATATTATATATAATGTGCATATCTATCTATCTATCTATCTATCTATCTATCTATCTATCTATCTATCTATCTGTCTATCAGGCATGGGCAAACTTTTTGACCAACATAAACATAAGAATATTTCAGTGGAAGACCCCAGGGGCCATCCAGTCAAACCCACGTTTGCCATGCAGGAAAAGCACAATCAAAGCACCCCCAACAGATGGCCACCCAGTCTTTGTAGTAGCAATAATAATAATAATAATAATAATAATAATAATAATAATAATAGCAACCCCAGGGGACATCCAGTCCAACCCCTTCTGCCATGCAAATAAAGCACCCCTTTAGTGATGGGAAGGAAATAGTAAAGGTAAAGGTTTTCCCCTGACATCAAGTCCAGTGGTGTCCAACTCTGGGGGTTGGTGCTCATCTACGTTTCTAAGCCGAAGAGCCGGTGTTGTCCATAGATACCTCCAAGGTGATGAGGCCGGCATGACTGTATGGAGCGCCCTTACCTTCCCGCAGAAGCGGTACCTATTGATCTAGTCACGTTTGCATGTTTTTGAACTGTTAGGTTGGCAGAAGCTGGGGCTAACAGTGGGAGCTCATCCTGTTTCCTGAAATCGAACATGTGACCTTTCGGTCAACAAGTTCAGCAGCTCAGTGCTTTAACCCACTGTGCTACCGGGAGGGAAATAATGGGAGAGAAATAGGCAAGGGGGAAAGAATCTTGGCTGTGTGGAAGGTGAGAGAACAAGATTTTTGGGGGTGAGGGAGGTAGGGGAGAGAGAGGAGCAGAAAGGAGAAGGAAAAGCTTGGAGGGAAAGGAGGAGGAAAAGGAGGAGGAAAATGTGGAGCCCCTCAATATGCTTCTCATAGCCCCAAGTGCTCCGCGAAGTACACTTTGAGATCTGCTGCTCTACAGTCACTGTATCACAGATATTCCTAGAGAGAATATAAAATCCATGATTTGATTATTCATGGATTTTATGTTCTCTCTAAGAATATCTATGTCTTCTAGTATGATTCTGCTGTCAACTTCTTTCAGTCATTTGGGTGGAATTTGAGATGTCTAGAAAGAACAGCTCTCTAGGTCCCCAAATGCAATTCTATAGTTGGTTTCCAGCAGATGTTGACCACAGTCATGTTGGAAGACCTAGACATTTCTAGAGCAATGTTCTCTTGGCAAATATCTCTATCTTTGTCTCTGTCAGTATCTCCATCTCCATCTATCTCCATTTCCATTTCCACCTATCTCCATCCCTATCTCTATCTCCATATCCACCTATCTCCATCTCCACCTGTCTCCATCTCTATCTCCACCTCTAGCTCCACCTATCTCCATCTGCACCTATCTCCATCTCCATCTCCACCTGTCTCCATCTCTATCTCCATCTCCACCTCCACCTATCTCCATCTCCATTTCCACCTATCTCCATCTCCATCTCCATCTGCACCTATCTCCGCCTCCATCTCCATCTCCACCTGTCTCCATCTCTATCTCCATCTCCACCTCCACCTATCTCCATCTCCACCTATCTCCACCTCTATCTCCATCTCCACCTGTCTCCATCTCTATCTCCATCTCCAACTCCACCTTTCTCCATCTCCATCTCTTCACTATCATGGGGTCCTACTCCTCAATGAATGTGCAAAGCTAAACTCTGCATGAGTAGAAAACTTTGATAAGGGTGATTTGAGCATTGGATTTCAACTCTGGAAACTAGGATTCGATTCCTCTCTCAAACAGTGAAACCCATTGGCTAATCTTGGGTGAGGCACACTCTCTCAGCCTCAGAGGAAGGTAGCGACAAACCACTTCTGAACAGATCATGCCAAGAAAACAAAGTGATAGTTTCGCCTTAAGAGTCACCAAGGATTGGAAATGACTTGAAGGCATCCAACAAGAAAAAGAAGTTTTCTATGTTTTGGGTGGAGGAGAAAGAAGTTGTCAAGGAAGTAAACACCCCGAAACACATCTAAAGTACTTTTAGTTCTAAGTCATAATGTTTGTGGAATCATCACTGCTGATTTTTGTAAAGGGATGGGCATATTTGTCGTTCAACAGTACTTTTTATTGTTTATGACCCAATTGGGACACTGATGCAATTGTGAACATACAAGATTTTTGAAGCTAGGGCGGAAAACTACAAATATTTGTGTCATGTCTGCCTCCAGACTAGTTATGCATCATTCTTTCAGTATGTTTCCTTTTCCTTCTTATTTTGAATCCTCCTATTTCAAATATGGAAAGTCACCAACCAGATGAAGGAAATGGCTACATCGGGTTCAAGAAAAATAATCCCACATTCCTTTGAAAATAAGATATGTCAAAAACAAGACAAATATATTTTGGTTATCCCTATTGTGTCCTTTCCTTCATATATGCTACATTGCTGAAGTTGGGAGGAAAGCTTTGCAAACTTTCTTTAATGTCTTCAGGATCAACTATAAATTCATTGCCTTGAAAACCAACCATTAATTATGGAACCCTAAGACCAGATCCTATCTAAACCTTCTGCCACAAATGAGCTGAATTCCAAGACCAATATTCATTATGCAAATAATACTATGCACACATATGCTATTGTTTTGTTATATCACACTTGGTAGTATACATTATGCAAATGATGACAAGTTATGCTTTTGTTTCCTCTTGTCATACGATGATGAACAACAGTTAAGAGGAAGGACGAAGAACCATTGCTCCTGGAGCTTAGAAGATTTTGTGTGGACTACAACTCCCAGTGTCCTGCAGACGACATGGCTTGTGAGATACAGCCACGTTGGCTGGATGATAATGTGAGTTTTAATTCCACAAATTTAACATTTCTAAGCTCTGCATGAATGAAGGAAATCCTCATTCATCCCATTTTGTTTGAATTATAACCAACCATTCACTCTTTTCCTAGCATACTTCCTTAAGGAGAGAAACTTGAAGTGCACCTAAACTGTGTTGTTGTTTAACACCACTTTAACTACCTTGTTGATCATTTCCGCTCCCTTGGCAGCCACCTCTTCACAAAAGTCAACATTGACACTGAAATACAACACCGCCTGAGCTTTGTGAGTGCAGCATTTCTGAAGGAAGCGGAGAGTGATTGAGGATCGGGACATCTATAGGGAGACCAAGGTGCTTGTTTATAAAGCTATTGTCCTCCCAACGCTATTATATGACTGCAAAACGTGGACTGTCTATAGATGTCACACTCAACACCTGGAATGATTCCATCAGCATTGCCTCTGAAAAATCCTGCAAATCTCTTAGGAAGACAGGCGGACAAATGTCAGTGTGCTGAAAGAAGCAAAGACCACCAGCTTTGAAGCGATGCTCCTATGCCATCAACTTCGCTGGACAGGCCATGTTGTCCAAATACCTGATCACTGTCTCCCAAAGTAGTTACTCTACTCCCAACCCAAGAACAGAAAACGGAATGTTGGTGGACAGGAAAATAAATTTAAAGATGGGCTTAAAGTGAACCTTAAAAACTGGCGTAGAACTGGGAAGCCCTGGCTCTTGAGCGCTCTAACTGGAGCTCAGCTGTGACCAGCAGTGCTGTAGAATTCAAAGAGGCACGAATGGAGGGTGAAAGGGAGCAATGAATGAAGAGAAAGGTGCATCAAGCCAGCACTGACCGGGACCACCTTCCACCTGAAAACCAATGTCCACACTGTGGAAGAACATGCAGATCAAGAATAGGGCTCCACCATCACCTACGTATCTACTACAAGGTACTACACTTGGAAGACCATCATACCCAGACAACAAGGGATTGCCTAAGTAAGTAAATGAGTAGTAAGTAACCACCTTGGCTCAGAGCTAGGGAATCCTGGGAATTGTCATTTTACAAGGTCTTTGGCCTTCTCTTCCAAAGAAGGCTGGTGCATTACCAAGTTAAAGGGATTTATTTTCTGCACCCACTAAGGTAAAGGTAAAGGTTCCCCTTGACACTAAGTCTAATCATGTCTGGAGGATGGTGCTCATCTCCATTTCTAAGCTGAAGAGCCGGCATTGTCCGTGGATGCATCCAAGAACATGTGGCCAGCATAACTGCATGGAGCACCGTTACCTTCCCATCGAAGCGGTGCCTATTAATCTACTCATATCTGCATGTTTTTGAACTTCTAGATCAGGGGTCCTCAAACTAAGGCCCTAGGGCCAGATACAGCCCTCCAAGGTCATTTACCCGGTCCTTGCTCAGGGTCAACCTAAGTCTGAAACAACTTGAAAGCACACAACAACAACAACAACAACAACAACAACAACAACAACAACAACAATCCTATCTCATCAGCCACACTTCCTATTAAAATACGAATTAGTTTATATTTGTTAAAATTGGTCTTCATTTTAATTATTGTATTGTTTTTACATGTTTTTTGCACTACTAATAAGATATGTGCAGTGTGCATAGGAATTCATTTAGGGTTTTTTTTTTCAAATTATAATTTGGCCCTCCAACATGTTGAGGGATTGTGACCTGGCCCTCTGTTTAAAAAGTTGAGGACACCTGTTCTAGATTGACAGAAGTTGGGGCTGACAGCGGGAACTCATCACACCCTGGATTTGAACCAACCATTCAGTCAGCAAGTTCAGCAGCTCAGCAGTTTAACACACTGCACCACCGAAGTTCCATCTGCATCCACTTTTTTCGTGTCAAGAGTACCTTGAGA